AAAAACTCAAAAGTTTGCTTCACCTAAGAAGGTAGCCAGAGGCCTTATGAAACAGTGCTTTTTGGTTTTTTCAGAGGTTACTTAGAGCGTTGGCGAGTCACATTCAGATGAGTGGCCTGCACTTGCCAGATAGAGGTGATTGCTAGGAGAGTCTGGAGCAGGGAAGGGAAGGGCAGTTTGGCCTGGGGACAGGAGTGAGATAGGAGACTCAGGAGATGTGCTAGGTGAGCTTATATGGTGGCTCCAAGCTGTACTCTAGAAGAGAGGTCCTTTCTCTCCTATAGGCAAGAGTGACCCACCTTTACTGTCACCTCACTAGCATGATGTGCTGTCTAAGGAAGGAGAAGGGGGACCACAGTCAGTGGTTCTCTAACTAGATTAGGTCTGGAGAGGACAAAATTGAGGTCTACAATGTTAGGTTAATTTGATGGACTAAATTGCTTCAGACAAAGCCCTATCCTACTTGATTCTAAAACGTTAAGCTTCCCTGCTGAAGTTTCTTGCTCCCACTGGATGTTTTCAACAAGTATAAGTTATTTCTCAGTTATAAGCCATACTAACAGCTCTTTTTCCTCAAACACTGAAAGGGACCTATCTTTTCTTTCTTGAATCCAAGAGACAGGTGGAGGAAAGAAGACACAATGGAATGAGTGGGAACATTAAGGAGGAAAAAGCATGCAAGTGTTCTCATGCTTCCTGAAAATAGCAGGCATAGGTAGGTCGAGACATGTATTACACATGGACGTTAAGGTAAATTTGTGCATGTATGTGGACATGCACATGCCAATGGTACCTGTTACTGCACAGCTTAACTATTGAGAAGCCTCAGAATCTCTGCTCTTTTTGCTTTAAACATTGAACTAAGCCCACAGTTCGTGGGAGCTAATATAATGTCATGCGGAGCTCTGCTGCTTTGTACCATCTCACCTCTGGCATTTGCTGTGATTAGCCCAGTTGCTTTGACACTTCAGTTGCATTAGCTGTTCATGAATTTTCAGGATACTTCTCCACAGCTACAGGTTATAATTTTATACATATTTTTAGCTTCAGGTTTTAAATGTAAGTAGCTGCTTAAGCAGGACTAGAGCCTAAAGGTCTGAGAGCCTTTATGCATATGTTACAACTGTGTATTGCAATGTATGGGTATGCAGCCCTTACATAACTCCTAGCTTTATTTGTGTAACGCAGAGCCATTTCCACCAATTCAGAATCAGACTGGACTTCAGGGGAACCTTGCCCAGAAAAACTGAAAATAAGAGAATTTTTGCTGTTTAGAAAAATACCACATTTCCAAAACCAATCATTTTTACCTGTCTCTAGAAGAAAAGAAGCCTGAAGCAGTGGGTCTTTATGTGCCTCACTGTACTTAAAGGAGAAAAGAAGGTATCTGAGAAGACAGATCTTTCTTCTCTGGCAGAGAAAGGACAGTTAGAGTTCTCCTAGCTGGAAGTTGTCTTATGTGTTTTGTTTGTCCACTCATTGGCGGATGTTTAGGGAGCTTTGAATCTCCGTAGCTATGCAAAGCCTCCCTTATTCGGCACCATTTCAGACTCTTCTGTTCGATAAATACAGAAATGAATAAAGCTTCTGTGAGCCAAGAAAAGCAGTAAGGGAGGGAGCTTTTCCTTCACTTGGAGCAATGCAACAGTTGTTGCTTCTCCCCTTCCCTGAATCTCCTTTTCCAGTCCACCTGTTTTGTTCAGTCTCTTGGCATAAATGTGAAATAATAAATAATGAAATTGGACAAAATGCCTTTTCTAAAGCAATATTCACCTGTTATATTTTTCATGAATTTTATTTTCAATTTGTACTAGACTTGTAAATCTAGCATAACAAATACTTTTTTAGAAAATTTTTTTTCTTTGTGAAAGATACTGATATTAGACTGAGATTGAGCAGAAGCTGTTAACTCTTACTGTTCAAAAAAAAAAAAAAAGAAACTATTTCCTTTGTTATTTAGTACTCTTGTTTCAATGGAGTAGATGGAGGCAGAGATTCTAGCTGGCCCAATGGTGCTATCACTTAGGATCTGATCCTGCAAGATACTAAACAGCACAGACTTCTGTCGTCATGGTAGTAGTAAGAACAGTCAGCAAATTGTACGATTTGGACCTTTCAGCAGTCAACACTAGCATCAGGCAAAAGAAAATTTGGTCTTGTATGGAAAGATCTGGATTTCGCTTACAAACATATTCAGTTAATTCATTTCTGTATCTTTAAATACAAAGCTAAAAAAGCAGTGCCTTGTTCAGTAACTCAACAGTCCCACTAATGTAAATGAGAGGAGATTCAGCCACCCTGTGTTTATCTATTGGCAGTGTGTGACTAGAAGTGTGAGATGTCGCTCTGACCCCCCCCCCATACAGATAACGTATATATCTGTTAACATGAGGGTCAACTACTATTGCATTGATCTACAGCGCTGGTTTAGAACAGACTTTAATTTGATTTTAGTTAAAATTTAACTGCTTACCCTCTAATTGGGTCACGTGTCAGCTTTTCAGAAATCAGTTCTCTTCCTAGAGAAATTTTACGTAAAAGCTTTGTTTAAGATTAGAAAATCATGTGAACACTTTTAAATTTTTAAAAACAGTAATAAAAAGGTCAGTTCCTTCTAAAAAAGACACAACATTTGAAGCAGAATAATATTTTAATAAAATTAAATCTTAAGTATTCACAAAGCATTATGCACATACAGTACATACTGTATTTAAAGCCTACGGACCTTAAATCATTTTATACTAATGTAGTCAGCTTTGGACCAAGCTAAGCTTACTTGATTTGTAATAAGAAAGTTTACAATGTTCCTGAAAGTGATTTTACATATATACATATATATATATATATTTGTATATATATTTGTATGTCTGTATTCCTACATGTAGGTGTAGGTATATACACACATTTGTGTATATGTGTGTATATAAACAAATACACACATATGTACACACATATGTACATATATTCACACATGCACACATACAGGAATAGAATATGCATGTAGTGCACCTGTGTCTGCATACTTATATATTTTGGATCTTTGTGGAGGGACCAGACAGTCATAAGAGATAAGTGCAAACAACAACTGTGATCATTATAAAACAAAAATTAGTAAAGCATTTTTTAAATTATATAGGTCCTTAAGAATTTGCATTGAACAAAAGGAACACAGTCTTCTGTACTATATAGAAATTAGATTTATTGCATTTGATTATGTTTGTGTGACAGATGAAGAGTACCTGCCTGTTCATTGCAGCTAACCTCTATGATGAGAACTTAAAAAACAAAAAAAAGTACTGAAACAAACGATACCATTAATGTGTTTTTATGAATGTGATATTTTCCAGGATGTGGCCAAGTTTGTCTGTTAAAATATTGCCTTACTTCCGCTAGTTTTGAAGGAGGCTACTTTCCTTGTCTTAATTGTTTTGAAGCCAGAAGACTTGCTTACCTTATCCTTTCTCTGGATGCAGAATCATTACCATTGACTATAAAAAGCTCACTATAAGAAAGATAACTAAATTTTCAAAAGTGAGCTAGAAGTTTTTACATAAATTTCAGAGTAGCTTGGTTGAGTAGGAGTCTCTTCTATGCGGATTATTCTTATGAATTGATCTCTTATTTGCTCTGAAGACATACCCACAATAAAGTACTATTTCTGTGAAAGCAGTAAATAGTAATCTCCATGCAACGTAAGCTGTAATTTCAGAACATGCATGTATTTAAAAAAAATAAAAATATAAGGTGCCTTGAGAATGCTGGCAGTTTTACATTTGGAACATACAGATAGTGTGTGTGTATATATATATATATATATTTACATCAGAACTGCTCAACTTTACCTTACAAGCTTCAGATTTAGGAAAATATACAGTACTTTTGCATATAATGGTTAATTCCTTATAGCCCCTGAGTCAAGTATAGAGGATTTTAATACAAAAAAGGAAAAACAGCCATTAAAAGCACTTACGTTTTTATGTGAAATAATAGTATAAAAGTATTATTTCCCAGGAAGACCAGGATCAGAAACATGCCTATGAAGACTCAAGATTCCTACAGTGCTTAGTGAAGATTCTGGCAAGGAAGGGTGCCTAACTGGGTGGAGGTAAGTTGTTCTGTAGTGCTGTGGGGGACGCTCTACAGACTGGTCACGTTCTTGATCTAAAAAAGAAGCCAGGTTGTCCTCTGATGCTGTGTTAAGATGCACTCCACTTGAGAGGGATTCTTTGGATTTAAGTTTTGATTTTTCAAGGTCTAGGAACTCGGGACACTGGAAGGGAGGAGAAGAAACAAGGTAGCAATGTTTAAAAAAGTCTCTTGTAGGTTCTTGTTTCTGCTGAAAATTAGCGCATTCAGATTGTTATTGGTAAGCCATGTTTGAAAATGAAGCAGTGTGCTGAAATACTTTTACATGGAACTGCATTTGACTTAATGTAATTGAATATGATTCTGTTGGTTGATTTATAAAATCAATCTCCTCAAGGGGAATCTTGTCCCCTCCTCAGACTTGTTTGTGTGTGATCAAAATATACACATACATCCTTTCTGAAGGACGGAATACTCCTGAAATGCAATCCAAGAGTGTAGACTTAAACTTTCTTGAATTTGCAGCACTTCAAAACATAACTCTGGAATTGCGTGAGTCCTAACGTGACAGTTTAGATTCCAGTCCAAGCACTGAGTTCTACTTCACTTTTAAACTCAGAAATTTTAAGAGAAAGTGTGCAATATGCCTGATAATGCTTGCAGAGGGTTGCCAGATTTCTGTCCTCACAGAGATAACGTGTATATGCTTTGTGCAGGTGTATGAGTGGTGGGCTGATAAATGTCTAAGAACTACTGCTGCATGTTTGCTGCCCCGATAATCTTTATGCATGCAAACTGATGCCTTCAGGATGTTTTGGACTTACTGTGCACTCATGTGTTCTGGCATACGCACAAGGAATCTGATACGTCCAAACACTCTGGATTTACTGGTCATGTACTGCATGATTGATTTGGGATTTCAAGACATGCAGCAGCCTGTTTGGAAATAACATGCCATAACTCTGGCCAAACTGTTAAACTCCAGAAATCCTAAACAAATTAGGAAAATAATCAAATTCTATCTGAATAAAATTTTGGGGTGGAAAACCTTTACTGGGAAACCTAGGTATGTGGCAGCTCTATATGAGCATATTTTCAGTAGTGGCAATGGCTTTTAGCCTCTCCCACTTGCACATTCATATCGCCATTGTATTGCATCAGCTGGACTTTTATGGCCTTTGTAGACAGGAAAACGTAGTTGTGGTGTTTCTCAGGACTTCAAGAGCTTGGCCTATGGCAGATGCACCCATGCCAAGCTGATGCTAGCAGAGACTTTGTGGTTTAGACCCATGTCTCGTATTTGTCCCTTCTACTACATTTCTCTGAAGTCCATGATGATGAAGTAAATGCAACACTCTACAATTTTAAGATCATTGTTTTGGATCCCTACCACCTTCACAGAAAATGTGGCCTCTGAACTATGGTATCAAAGTTCACCGTAGAGATACTAGACCAAAATAGGAATTTCATATTTTTTAAACTAGTGAACAAGCCCTAAGGTTAATAAGCATTTCTTCCATCATAAGCTAACAAGATGAAAACATCTTTTTTGATCATATTGAGCATGTACATACCTGCGATGAAGGACTGAAACTTCTGTCTGTTTTAATTGATGCTACAGGATGAAGTTTTTGCATCACCCGGAGAGCTGGCTGTTGATATTCTACGCTTGCAGTTACCATGCTATAGGCAGGTGGAATGAGCGCTGACTGCCTTTGCAAAAGCTGCAGGATGGTTTGAATATCGGCAGTCATTTGGGATTCAAGCCTAGAGAAGTAACAAAAAATTAGTTAACATATGGTCAGGAATGGGTATACTTTTAACATACTGATTACAGACGCATTCAAGAGGGACTTGCAGCTTACTCATAAAGCAAGCCATTGCTTATTATGACGTGACTGTATCTTAAATAGGAAAGAACAGAAGAGGGAGTACTGAGCCCTTCCAAAGCTAGCTAGCTCTTTCCTTTGCAGAGCATTTTTGCATGCTTGTCTCTGATCTGAATGCATTAAGAATGCACATACATTAAGCATGAGTTCATTGCTGTCCGTTTTGTTTGCAAAAAAAAAATTAACCAGACAAGATCCTTAGCTGTAATTAACTGGAATACCAGTATTCTTGTCATTGAGACTAAATTGATTTTTACTGGCTGAGGATGTGACACAGTAGTTCTGATGTATCTGATGATTAATTCTGGCATTTCAAAAGCTAAAAGAATGCAATGAAATGACTAGAAAACCACATTTGTGTTTTTCTACAGTTTGAAAAAGTAGGATATAAGATCATTACTTAAAAAAAAAAAAAATCTAGCCTAAGTCTCTTTACAGTGAACAGTTATTCAGGCTTATTCAGAGCTCAGAATTAATCTCAGCGTTTCTGATGTTCAAATTCAATTGCTTTTTCTTTTTTTTTTTTCCTTTTGATGACTTTGTGTATGACTTCTGAAACTGTTAAAAATAAACCTCCATGTTAGCCAGAACACTTGTGCTACTTATGGTTTTCATACTTATATTGCCATAGCACTGAAATGATTTTCAAGTGGTCTTTCCAAGATCATTGACATAGTGGGCAATGGGTAGTGCCTCCCAGCTGCTGGAAGGCTACAAAGCATACTATGCCAGATTGTCATATGGATATACAGCCTTATGTACTGCAACTCATCTCCTGGCAGAGTTATATGGTTTGTAAACAAACCTTTATGTCAGCAGCCTTTAATGTTGTGAATGTTCCAGCTTGGGCTCTCTGCAGCAGCGGAATTGATCCTGTGCTGGCAGATTTTTGCTTTTGCCAGGTGCTTCATTGTTTGATATTATTTTTTATCAGGCTGGGGTCATCCGTCACTTGTGTCACTTATTGTTAAAATGTCTATGAAATTAATCTGAAATGTGTACCCAAAGGATATTTAGGATGATTTTTTTTTCCTTTACACAGAGAGGCTGGTTCTGTGGCACCTGCTTTTATAAAAGCTCTTATAATACAAGGCCCAAACCCTGAGGTTACAGTCAGTTATGCCCTACTCAACCTCTTGCTCAGCTCCCTTGGGTTTTTTGCTGCTTGCAAATATGCTGATCTGGCATAAGCATGATGCTGATGCCACAGGGGAAAATACTGCAGCAGCAGCAGCAGCAGCATCCAGAGAGCTTCCCTTTGCTAAACTTCGGCCTTAACATCTATTCACAAAGGTGAATAGGGATTTAGCTTTGGAGGACTTTCATCATCAATTTTCTTTTATTCCAAATTAGCTCTAAAATGGCTCCCCTCTTACTTTGTTAGTACTTAATGGGGGTTTCCCAGTACTCTTAATCAAAGAGTACTTCTGGTAGTCTTTATTCATCATTACTGCATATATAACTTTTCCCTCTTTTCTCCTGAATTCAAAACAAGCCCAGGGCATGCCACCTAAGGACAAACAAACCTAGATGCTTGGCTCAGATTCTCCGTGAAATTTAGATGGCCTAAAGAGGAGAGAGATAGCTCTAGGGACATATTCCTAGTACAGAAGTTTTCCAGCTTTCTGTATCCATTTAAAAACGTGAGTGGCACATCGAGCCTCTAACTGGAGACAGAAAAGGTCAAGAGTAAATGACACTGCTTTTTAGCCCAGCAAGGTAGATCTGACGTAAGTACAAAAGAATATTGGCTGTCATATTGATAGAATAAGATTCACCCAGGCCTCAAATCCTGAAAGCATGAAAAGCTTTAAACACATGAGAAGAGTTACAGAATAAAATGATTTAAAAAAATCTATATCTTAGTTTACCAGCAGCAATGATATTCTCTCCCTCAGAAAAACTATTGAGAACTTGTATTAGATTTTTGTAAACCTTTAGATAAATTTGAGATATAACCTTGGTTTCAAGAGCTTAAGATTTCAGGAGAAGGAATGAAAGCGAAAGGCTACCTTCCCTGTTGCTGAGGATCATGGAAATGTTTAGCTAAGTGACATATACAGTTACTTTGATACTTGACTCTACTGCAATTAGAAATTTTAGCAATTTAGGCTCACATGTGAAAAATATGTCTTTTTAATGTACTATATTGTATTCAGAAATGAAAAATACTTTGGTTTGATTGGCTTATAGTAGGTTAAAGAAGCAATATGCAGTTAACCTGGCTTTAAACTGATCACTAAAATATACAGCGCAGTATGCCAATGAAGAGCTACTAAAATATAATTAGGGCTGAAAGCGTGTCATAGTATTTGCCATGGAAAAATTTGGAAGTAATGGAATTTCAGAGCAAAAATAGTAAAAAAGCCACACACCTGACCATAGGGCAATTCAAAATTAGGTGAAATTATATGGTAAAATATAGTGTATGATAGATCAAAATTCTATAGCCATATTTTTAAGATGTCATAAGCTATGCTGCTTAGATGCCAGCAAAGAGTAGTATATTAGATACCAAAAGAGAGAAGGATAAGGAAGGTACGTTTTATTAAGCAAAGGTAACTTACGCTTTCTGAAAAAGAAAGTAAATGTTTTCTATTGTAGCAGGTATAAGTATTTTGCCTTTGTGTAATCCCATGCCTGCTTATTATAGAGAGAGTTGCAAAAGAAGGTAATGCATCATAAAGGGAAGATATCTGCAATATAAATGCTTTCTTTTCAAAAGGTTTACTTTGTGTCTCCAGGAAAAATCAGTACTTCTAAGATATTCAAAATTCCCATTTTGCGGACATGTAAATCTCTAGGAATCGTTGTTAAGGCAACAACGTTCTGGGTGAGGTAAGATTTAAATTTCATGAGTTTAGGTGCTTCACTAAGGTGTTCAGGGTAAGAAGGTAGTCTCCTAAGCTGCCTGTAGAGCCAACTGAGGAGAAAGTCTCTTCTGCAAGGCAATTTAGAGCAGCTAATATGGGTACCTAGAGGTAAGTGACATGAATATTCTGCCAGTGAATCAAAAATTTTGTACCCAGCAGTCCCAGGATAGGATTTGCCAAGAATTTGGAAAGCTGAATTTAGTTGATATTTAGGCTACTAAAATTTCATATAGACACCTCAGTGATGTTCCCATTGGCATATTTCTGTACTTTTGAGCTTCTGAAGATATGAACGTGTTTGGAAACTTCCTGCCCAAATTGTTCCTCCTATAGCTTCACTAACAGCAATTGTATTATGGATCCTTTCATGCGAATCTTTTTTTTTTTTTACCTGTTGAGTTGTTCCTGAAGTAAATCTAACCGATTCTCCACTTCCCCATATATGAAGTCGCTTTCAGTTTCGCAAATGCCCCATGTAACGTGGGGTAATGCTGACTGACTTGGAGAGTCCTGGTACTCCCTGATGTCCTCCTGCCCCCAGTTTCTTTTGTCAGTGATATCTGATGAAAAACAAAACGAAGTATGGATTTATATATGTGCTGATAGAGAAGGGTTGGTGATCATGATGAGCATAACCACGTGCTACTGGGGAATTAATAGAGAATTTCATGTTCAGTCAAACATCCCACTTATCAGTGTTTCTCAAAATTTTGAATGTTAATTTGGTATACAGGTACACTGCCTGAACAAGAGTCTTTCTTCCTTACCGCTATTTAAGGAAAGAGAATAGTGGCCACATCAAAAAATTTTAAAATTCTAAGATAATGATAGCAAAATGCTAATATTTTGAAGCCATAGATAAACAAAGGAGCTTTATTTAGTCAGCATCACCACAGTTCTGCCACTTAATGGCTCCTATTTCTTTAGTTTTCTATGTTTCTTACTGAGGAACCCCCAATTTTCTCACACTTTTTTAGCAAGTTATTATTCTCCACTGAAACTGGAAATATTTGTTCTAAGCTAAGTGTTATAGGATGTCATGTACTTGAATATCTTTTATGTTTCAGAGACCTGGCTAAAATCTCTTCTCTTGCCCTTGAATGTACTATTTAAAGAGTATTTACATTTTAGCTTTTTTGTGTGTTTGTTTAAAAGGAGGACTTGCTGCATTGCATTTACAGCATTTGCAGTGCATTGCAATGCACACTGTAGAGAAAGCTCGCAGACCTCAGCCAGTTGCCTTTCTTACCAATAATTCTAACGCTACTTGTCTTAACAAGACTAGTGAGGAGTAGTATGCTTTCTCTGAGACAGACACCATTTAGCACAAGCTTGCAAAGGGATACTGGTTATTATTTTCAAAAGGAAATTGATTTTCACTAATGTAGCTGGTAGCATCACTACTGTCCAACCTAGCACTTAGTTAGTGTGTAAAGCATGTTTTAGAGACTCTCACAATTCCTGTGGGGTGAAAGGTGCCAGTTCATTTTGTTTAATAATTTGTGATTCTTAAGAGAATGAAATACTCTGTAGTTACTGGGTCAATCAGAGATCTCTTCAATACTAATTGAAGCTGCATAATAAAGAATAGATCTATTTTTTTCTATTTGAATTACAAACAAATTATTAGATTAAGATTTTGGAAACAGATTTTCTACCAGATTAAAAAAAAGGAAATGCATAATTAGGAGCATACTTTAGAGTTTCAGCTAGCTCAGTGAACTTACTTCCCATTCTAATCCTTTATATTTTATGTGAAATATATAAAGTATTGAAAATTATAGTCTTTATATATGAGTCCTTTTTTTTTTTTTTTTATCTGCTGACTTTGTAAAAAATGATAGTCGCTACTCCTGTTCCCCCCCCTGTACCAGCCCTGCCCAAGGTCCATCTCTCTTGTGTCTCCCAATTCTTGGATCTCTGTTACTAAACACTAGGGCATTCCTTCCTTTTGCTCATTGTTCTGGCAAAAGCTATTTCTCCTTCCTTTTTTGATTTGCTTAACTTACGCCTCTGTGCATTTCTTAATTAGTTTACATTCCTGGTTTCAGGCTGTTTTTTCCCATTCATCAAACTCAGGTGAAATGTTACAAATCATTTATCGTGAGATATATTAGTTGCTCATACCCTTATTTGATATAGAATCATTATTTTGCTGTGAGCTTTGCAGAGCCTACCAGCGACATATTTAGGCTGAACAGGGCTTTTTCTACACATATGTATCCCCCACCCGCAGCCTTTGTTACTCTGAGGAATTCTGTTACATAAACAGTCAATAATTGCTTAGTACCACTCAAACACACTTTCTCTGCTGTGGAAAAAAGGTATGTTAAAACTTTAACACCTATTCAGTATAATTCACATTAGGGTCATATAAACTATTTGTAATGATTTAGCTACATTAAGTTATAGAATGCCTTAAATGTTCCTATTGTGCTCAGACTGCTGCTTCAACATACCACTGGACAAAACCTTGACTGCTTGTAAGGTGGCAGCTGCTGTTGTATGAGCAGTTGGATTTGAATCCCACGGCCCTCAGTTGTCCCTGAATGGTTTGCTCAGAGCTTCTCCTAACACTTCCCTGTAATTCTTGGCACTGCATGCTTGTAACTCAGCAGAGGTTACATTCATTTCACACTTCTGAAATTTTTTTAAGCAACCATAGCAGCCAGAGCCATGTTTCAAAGAGAGAAGAAAAAAAATCAGTGTGGCTGACATATGAGAAATTTGTCCAAATCCTACTAGCTAACCCTTTTCAAACACAACTTTTTTGAGCGATGTTGCTCTAAGTAAAATAATAAAAAAAATTTGGCAATGACATTTCCTGCACAGACTTAGCATTTCAAGTAGATTTATCCAGAAAGGGGCACTCTCACTACATGACTCCAAGCAGAGGAGGAAACTTCCTTTTTTTTTTAATCAGAGAAAGATGCTTACTGCATTATCTGATCTTTGGTTAGCAGGTGGTGAAAGGTTTTCTGGGGCTGGAGAGAGTGTTTGGATTTCATATGACATGACCTGATTTTATGCACTGTGCAGAAGGAAGGGGAAGGAGATTTCATCTTGGCTACCTAGAAGCCTATTCAGCTTCTCGGCCCTCTTAAGCCAACAGAAGGAAAGAGCACAACAGTGTCAGAGAAGCATGTCGTTTGGATTTAGCTGGCACACTTGGCTCAATTTCGGTGTCCAAAGAAGTCTGGCTTTTACCAAAGCGTAGGGAGCAAACTTCGACAAATTCAAGGATGAAATTTTAAACCATGCCTGTTGGTACAGTGGATGTTGTAAATCCAGTGGATTTACTTTTTAGACAGTTAATTTAGGGAATAGAAACTAATCATATAGGTCATTTATGTCACTGCTTTTTAATGTCCTGTAAAACCAAGTTGTTAATTTTTTTATATAATAAATCATATGGTAAAGTTACATATTTTCCTATGCCGTGGCATAACCCAAGGAATTCACAGATGTTTTTTGTCCCATAGTATGTATTTGCAGACTATTATATTAAATACTTCATTTGTGATAAAGCAATTAATTTGGCATTCAAACTGTAAAATACGTTCATACGCTACAAGCAAGACTCCTGACTTATCACTTGTGGGATATCAGATTGTACTGTTCTAAGTATCTTTTCAGATACTTCCACATATACGAATATCCTAGAAAGGCCCAAAAGAAGTTACAATTTTATAACCAGTTATACCTTCCAGAGATTCAAGAATATTAGGCTGAGAACTAAATCAATATATGCATAGCTTGGTTCAAGAATCAATCTAACTGCCCAAATACTGACCAAGTGAGAATAGAAAATAGCATTTTTCTTCAGCACATAGATGAGCAGCTATGAAAAAATTAACAAGCCTTCTCATAAGACATGAATGGTTTAAACAAATCATTTAAACAGTGTTACGAGTTGCATTTTAGGATTACGACAGAAAAGTTTATAGAGTTTCAGCTCATGTTACTAAATACTTTATTTATAGTCCTTCCGTTCAGGGACAGTAATGACCAAAACTGAAAACAAACTAAAGATAATTAAATATGCATCAGTCACAGTGATAATCAATTGTGGTAAGTTTATAGAAGTTCATTTATAGGCAAGAGTTATAAGCCACCATAATATATAAAGATTATAAACATACATGCGGAATTTATTTCAGAATTTCATTATGTTCATAACTACTTTTATGGTAAGTTAGAACCAATCTCTAAGTAATAGCAAGAATGAGAATTTAGTTTAAAGCATATATATCAATCAAAGCTGATCTTATTTAACTGAAATTGAGGTTTTTATGAAAGTTTCAAGAAAGGTAATGAGCTTTCAAACACATTATCAGAAGTGCAGAGTTACAAAGCAGAAAAAAGAATGTTATCTTAATCAAAATATATAACCTTTAGACATATTAAATTTAGCTCAAATAAAATTTGCAATAGGTTGCCTTGGAAAATGTTGCTATAGCTGCTAGGACACATTTCTGGCTACCAGCAGGGGAAAGGTAAGCTTTTAAATTGCAGTACATATGCAACAAGTTTATATGGCTCAGATTTACATGACCCTAACCAAAGGAGACCAGACTTCACATATTCATGCCTTTGAAATGTAAAAATACATTATTTGGCCTGATTAATCATTAGGATAGTTTAAAATTAAGCTTAAAAGCCTAAAGTTTATTAAATGATAGTTAAATGGTTAATTGTCCCAACAGGAAGCAAACTGGTGAGGAAAATAGCAATAAACACTGAACATATAGTTCTTCCTTTCAGAGTGAAACAATTACAAGCAAACTTTCAGCAACATTTGATTGGTATATTAATTTGGGTCTTTTCATTAGTTTCTCTTCACATCAATGAGAAGATTTTAGTGTATTAGAAGTCATTTTAATTATGTGATTTAACTCTATGTAAATCTAACTGAGATTGCTTAATCATTGTTGATAATCTGTCATATAAAAAAGTCCAAATCTTTGCTCTTGCATTTTTCTTACTGAAGTCAAGATTCGTGCAGCGAAATGGGATAGCATTCTTTCAAGCTATTATGAATTTCTTTAACTGAATTCTGGTTGGGCATTGTGAATATAGGGAAAAGGCTAATCACCTGAAAACATTTCAGGCTTTCTTTTGTGTGACCATCACTAGATTTATCTAACTCTCATTGTCTAAATAGGATTTTGTACTGCTACCAAACCATGGCATATCAAGCTCTCCTCGAGGGACTCGTTATTGCTTTGAATGCAGTTTTCATGCATGGGCATGCAGAAGTGATGTCCATTGCTGGTGGAGAATTTTAAAGATTTTGCTGAAATGACTTTCCTAAGGCAATTCAGTTACAAGAAGTCTAGAATAGCCTTTTGGAGGATCTGTACTCCAGTCTCACAGCCAGTGTATTAAACTATATTAATCCTCTAGAGAAATAATAATTTTTCATGCAAATTAGTTTTTCTATTTACTCTCTCATGAAACCCTTACAAAAATAACTACTGTATAAAGAATCAATAGATTCATTCAGAAAATGATTTTTGGCAATTAAACCAAAAAAGACGACTACTCAAACTTTGCAAAATAGCACAATTACCTTTGCAAGAATTGCTGCTTTTGCCAATAAGAATATCTTCTGTTGCATGGACCATTTCTTCAATATCAACCTCTGTGGTTTTCCCTGTTATAGAAGGATAATCAGCTATCCCAGAGAACAGGGGTTTTTGCTCATCTTCAATAGATGACACAAAAGATGATGATCCACTTCTTTTCTCTTCAAAGTGTTTCTTGGTAGATTGATAATATCTAGTATTGTCCCCTGAGTGTTCAAGATCACTCCGATTATTCTCTTTGAAATAACCTGTTAAACAGAAATAGTTGTATCCAATAACATGCAGTTCATGAGACCGTGTTCCAGTTTATTCTGACTGAGGATGGAGACTATTCTTATATCAATTAGGAAGTTCACTGTCTTTTAGAATAACATTACTTCAAAGCCTTTCCTAATTTTGTATCAGAGAAGATGTATTTCTCTCTTGAAGTCCCAGAAGACATTTGCATGTATGTAGTAAGGATTTGTAGTCCCTAAACCATGACTCGTTATGCAAAAGGTTTCTTATTTCAAAACCGCAAAAGTTTGATCTAACACAGCCCTCCTGTTTATTCTTTTTTTTTTTTTTCCAGGTGAGGATTAGATTTGAGAAAACTTTATATTCTGAAAGTAATGGATCAAAGTCTAGATACATGTTAAAGAAATAAAATTATTCTTTCCTTTCCTTTTCTGATTTTCCACGTTCTTGGGCATTTCTCACAATCGTGACAGGCTAACAGTCATGGATGTCAGGTTCAGTATCAGAACTAACTGTTTAAATTATGCCCACATAACTGCAACTTTGCTGATTATTCTTTTCTCAGCAAAGGCAAATGTATTAATTTTCAACCACTCAACCTCACAATGACTGGGCCCATCTAAATAAAGCACGTATTTCTCCATGCTCATTACTGTCCTATCTATATATAGGTCTGATATGGGAGAGAGAAGCTCTTTTGATGCAAAAAGAAGGGAATTGCTAATCTGTCTTTGTGGGAGCATCTCAAAAATAACTTTCCAAAAAATCCTAAATTCATTAGACTTTAAAATTAATTGCAATTCTCTGATCATCATCCATTCTTTTGGGTAAGAAAAGTACATAACACAGTGTAGTATATATGGTAAGAATACCAATCAAGTTCAAAATTATTCTTTCATTAATTATATTCAAGTTTTGGGGTAAGGAAAAGCAGGTTCAGTGCTCTTGGGAAGTGGCAAATAAAGCTATAGATTTAAAGCAGTTGCCTTTAAAAACATGCATTATAAACAAATTAAATAGGATTTAAGCCCAAGAATGATTATTTGTGAATATAGTGAACTCCTGATCTGTCTTCAGCATAAATTTGAAGCTAATTTCAAATCCAACATTTAGTTTTACCTATTTTTAACTGAAAAGTCAAGATAATTCCAGTTCTAGTATTTATTTAAAACACATTTTAGAAGGGTAGTCTCAACAACACATAAATACTGTAGCTAGTTTGCATTACCTTCCCAGGGAGACAGCATGATTTCCCATCTGCTTTGTGCTAATTGCTAATCAACATAGCTCTGGAATGTCTGTAGTCTTTACAAGACTCCAGCAGTAGCTAATGTAAAATTCAGTACATTCTCATGGTTTCTTCTCTGTTTTCTGGTCACTATATATACAGAAATGAAACTGTGGCCTCATCTAATCTTCTTTATCTGCATACAGAGAGAATGCAGTATCTGTGCAGAGCACGCTGCGGTAACAGTGAACTGAATGAAGCCAGCACTGTGGCAGGTCTCCTGTAACTGTACCCTCCGGAGTCTCTATGGGCAGTTAACACAGCCCTGAACTGAAGTGACTTTCTTTGGTTTCTATTAAGCAGGATCACTAGCTATAAGTGATACTGGTGTTACTGTTGATACCGCTAAGGCATCAACACAAATGCAAATGGACTGGCAGTGTAAGGCTCTTGGGGGATGATTAGACTGGATAGCTGAGTCCCATATTTTCTGCAATCCCATCTCTAAAACTGTAAAAAAAAAAAAAGGAAAGTCTCATAAGAAAATTCTAATGTAAACATCTCCTATGGCTTTTCTTTTGGGAATATACGGTGAAATACATGCATTTACTCTAAAGTAAATTGTCTTAATTATTACTGCTATACTGACTTCAACCTGTGAAAAAGACCTTATAATGAAAGCTTGAAATGACCATTTTTAGGGTAATTTTTTATTTCCGTGGGATTTTGTGCTCTAACGATAGCAGTAATGAGCACTCTGTGGAATACAAATAAATCAGTGGACTAATTTTAAGGGGAGGTCATTGAGACGTTAACAGTAATGAAAAAAACTGTAGAGCAGCTGAAGTACATCAGACTGACTTATCTGTCATATTCATGGAATACTAAAATATCTGGAAATAAGAAGCCAGTGCTGTAAAACCAGGGTAATTCAACTGATGTCCCTGCATTCAGTTTAGTCTGCATGTATATCAGAACAACAGAGTGCATTCTTTTCCATTGCTATCCAGGAAAAGTAAATACACTAGCATTAGCATGAAGGCAGAGATTGGAAAACTGTAAGGTCCCGCCTATGGAAATCAAGGAAAAAAAATGTTTGCCAGCTGATACATTTCAAAATATGCATCTTTGACTTTGGTACCATTGCTTTATCTGCTAGCCATCTGGCTACCTTCAGAAAGTCAAATATTTATCCTTTTAAAAGAGTTTTATTTAATGCTAGGGATCCTTATGTCTGGAGGACAACACTCTGATACTTTGTAACTAGAGTAGGAACTAAAATGGAAGCTGCATTCTGCGTTTGGCTCTTTAGGACCTGGTGGTGGAGCAAGCTCAGTACCTCAGCTCCGCAGCTTACCAGCACCTCTGCAGCTCAGGAGAAATAAGTAATTCATCAGTAATGCTTTATTCAGCATGTGAATTTTCTATTGTTTTCTCCTTTTCTAATGGAAATTTGTCTTTGGTTTGGATTGAATTTTCCAGATGAGGAGAATTTTGTATCTGTATGTGTATGTATGGGTAAGTTCACTTTCTATCACATAGACTTGAGCTTTCAAAAGGATTCTTTTCTCCTTGCTCTTCTATTTCCAAAATAAATTTAATCATTAACACCCCTGCCCCGTCACCCTCCCTTCACTTCCATCTTGGTGCTTCCTCCTTCCTTTTACAATAAGGCTAGTTTTGCTCTAATTCTGATTGCTAGAAACAGTGTTTTCTTGACACTGATTTTTCTGTAACTTCCTGCTTTACCAAACACATTTACAAATACCATTTACACTCTTTATGGGACTCATTTTAGCCTGCTATGTATTTTGGGTGCTTGCCGAATTTGTAGACAATGTCAGCTGACATTTGCTCTCCCGAAAATGCCGAAATCTTCATAGTAATCATAAGAAGGTTTGTGTCCTGCTTCTTGTACTTGTACTGGCAAGGGAAGGGAAGAAACCTGGGTTGTCATGTGGGCAATGACATATAGTTACGATATAGACTCATAGAAATGCTGGGATAAAAGCTTGCTTGGTGCGATGATTACCAGAGATCGGATAAGTTTCTTTTGTGTGCCATGGCCAGCTTGCAGTGTTGAAGTTTTGCATTACTCAGAGAATGGCAGTCTGCATGATCTAGACTTACTCTTAATGCACTACTCTGCTGCAAACAGTATCGGTGAAAGTGTCAATAATATATTACATGTGCAGCAGCATATTTTAATATTACTGTAATTTCATTAACTAGAATTTGTCGTACTTAATCAGATTAGCTATCTAGCCTAGTGCTTCAGAAGAAGGTAAATTTTTACTCCCTTTTTCAGCCGTCCAGTAAAAAGCCCCATAATATGCCTAGACAAATTCAATTTTGTACAGGAAATGAGGTGAATGACTTCCTCACCCCTGCAGAAAGCAATTTATATCTCAAACCATAAGACAGATAATCCTTATCATTAACATGATCTGCATAACTATAAATCTGTTCAGCAGACATGACATCTTCCTATTCCTTTGAAAAATCCTACCATATCATTTTTCTGTACACAAGAAAGACACTCAGTAAGGAGAACTGCATATTGTGACTTTGATGGAAACATAGTGGATCCAAAACAGTCTGCAGATCTTTAGACTCCCAGCAAGTATTTTGATTCAACTGTTATTAGTCTTTCTTGTCTGATATTCACAGATGTTCCTGAGATGGCTGAGCTCTCTTTTCTATACGTGAACAAAGCATTTGCTAGTGAACAAGAGTATTTGTTAGCTATCCTTTAATTTAAAAGTGTCAGTTGCCTTGTCAGATAGCAGAAAAATGACTTGTGTGCCCGCTTACGCACCAACAGCACCAAATACTCAGAATGAAAAGTCAGTGACCAAGCACTTCAGATAGGACATTAAAAATGATACCATGAACAGAGTTGAGAAAGTGCAAAATCTCAAAAATGCCAAAAAGTAATTTGAGCAGTGCTTTTCAAACCGTGCCTATGTTTTCCACCATACTTTCAGGAAATGTAGATGACTGCTTGATAGAGATAGGGAGCAGCCTAAAATCAGTCAGGGAAAATAAGAATCCTAATTCCTGCAATCACTGCTTTTCACTTAGTGGGAAAAGAACAATATAACTGATACATAATATTTATGTGACCACAAAAAATATTAGTCCTGTGGAGCCTAGTATATAATACAATGTGATTACACAGGTTGCATGCAGGCTCAGGTTGCATGCAGGCTAAACTACTCTACAGAGCGCCTGTCAGGGATTTTAGGATTCCCAGGCAGCTAATTTAAATGTTCCTCCTTCTTTTTCTTTGCTTCATACTTTAGTTGAACCTGACCGTCATGGAGTACATTGCTAAATATGATGGCTTTTCTGGCTCCTCAGTGAAATGTGGTTGAAGATTATAGCGCTATTCAAATTAACAGCATGTCTAAGTGTTGTTACCCCTAGAAAATTACCTGCTTTTTAAATGGGTTTTAATGCAGGAAAGCTGTATGGTAAAATCACAAATTTTGTGTGCACGAAAAAAGAAAAGTAGTCTGAGAACTGTACAAAATGTCTATTGAATAGCCGGAGAGGTTCATATCTAAATATTCCCCAGAGGGTCACAGCTGCAAAACCAGAAATTGGTTATTGTCAGGAAGAGTAATTGTCTCTGAAGTTTTGAAAACAAATTGCAAATTCAGATGTTAAGTGCCTGAAACTGCACGGTTAACATCTATGGTGCGCTTTGTATAGCAAAGGTCCCTGAACAGGGAAACTATTTCTGTATCACATTTACTAAACTAATAATGCTCAGCACAA